GGGGGGGGTACCTCTTCCATCATCTCATAAGCTAGTAAAACATCAGCCTCTGGGTTTGTGGCCTGGATTAATGGAATTGAAGCTTTGTAAGGGCCCCCATTCTCTTCCTATAACAATAATGGCTGATGTCAGTTGCCATTCTCATTTTACACAGTAGAGAAAAATAATATGACGAGGAGCAAAATGCATCGGTAATTAATTACCTTACACTTGTCAATGCTCACAAATTCCACATGTTTTCCTCCAGATGGTGTTGCATGTGAGCACTTAGGAATTCCGACAAGTTCAAGAACATCTGCTAATTTGGCCCCACCCCAAACAGCTGCATTGACATGCACGAGTATATCAAATCAAAACACAAAACATGGAATACTCAAGGAGCTTATCACACATATTAGACACTTAAGTCCTACAGAAAGTGTCGGGACAAGAAAATAGCAACTCATTGTAGATCAGTTTACATGAACAATATGGCTTCTAATTGCATTTTGGGACATAAAAACACGGGTCTATTCCTCCAATAAAGTTGATAATAAAGAATTTTCTGAGCCTCGTGTAGTAGATAAACTAGCAAATTTTTTTATCCACAAATCATATACGGGCATGTAAGGAATTCATCCCCCGATCCTCGATATAATGCTGGTGCGGCCTCCATAGAACAGTATATTTGAGAGCGTTAATCTCAAAATTAACATAAGTTAACATAGGTAGATTCAACAAATTAAAAACAAGATTAATAACAATTGAAATGAAATTGATCTTTAGCATGGACTAACCATTTCCAATTGCAGCAACATCCCATCCAACTCCTTTCACACTTCGAGTTTTGCTCATGGCAGTCCTCCTGTTGCCAGCACACTGTGTGTAACACATTTGAATCAGAATATCATATGTCAAGATACGGGAAGGAACAATAGAATGGAATAGTTCTATTCATAGGTAGAGGGATAATTCCATAGCCTTGAGGAGATACATGGCCAAATAAAATGAACTATTGTTGCTAACTTTATGCTTACACTAAGAATGAGTTAAATAATCGTTTTATCTAGTAACTGAAGTGCACTACGTACCTGTAAAGTGGCAGTGACATTATATTTTGGAAGCCTCCTATTATTCGTAAAACAAAATCAAACATCTCACAATAAACGGTGAAGTTGACATCATAAGGCAAACAGATGGTTCACTCACCAAATATCTTTCATGAACAGCTCTTTAGTACTTCCGATTACACCAGTGATAGAAACACTATATCTGGTCAGCAGAATAGATTCCATAAGCTGAAATCAAATACTTCACATATAGAATATATATATATATATATATATATATATATATATATATATATATATATATATATATATATATATATATATATATATATATATATATATATAGATATATATATATAGATATATATATATATATATATATACTACTGGAATTGGTCCATGGTTCCTCTTATAGAAGAAATCCACCGGTGTGACATAAGACGAAACCAAATCTGAACGCCGTGGCTCCGCATTGAAAGGTTGCTGAACCAAAACAAAAATCGGAACCAATTGATAAGACGGTACAAAATAAACTAGAGTCAGATAAGCGAGAATAAAAAATTAAAACCATTAAAATCATGGTTGTGTGGGATCAGCATGCTACAGAAATTGTTTATTTCAGATGAATTTATGTTTATTCGTCTAAAACATTAACAAGGAAACCTGAAAGCATATTTCGGGGATAAACACAAAATTTTGGAAGCTTGATTAGCGACAAACGAAACGGCAATTAACCTTATCACGCTAGAATTGCAAGAACCCTAAAATCCAGATTCGAAGTAATAGATGAGGAATTGAGATGTGACAATCCAATAACGTAAATCATGAAATCGGGAATCGGTAATGAGCGACTCACCTTGGAATTGATAGCGAGAGCAGGGTGGCGAGGGGGCTCTTGCTTGTAATCAGAGGGGGCCCTGAGTCCCGGCATTTCTGTTCGATCACAATTTTCTTCAATCCGACCGAACTCACTGTGTGTGAATGTAGAGACGGCGACGGCGTTATCCGAGTGTTCAAGAGCAGGTACATACGATACGAGTGGTATTGTTTGTGTTGTTTATGAAAGCTGCTAAATGCAAAGTAACGACGACAGATTTATGAAACGATGATTTTGGGTCTCCGAGTGGGTCCCGCAAATTAGATCACAGAAGCGGCTGTGAGATAAGTCATTCTCACCCAGCTGTGACCGTAGGATAAATTGTGGTTTGGCTTTAAAAATGCAATTTTCTGTGGGTGGATTCCCCCCTCAACACAAAATTAATAATAAATTTTTAAGAAAATAATCAATCATGTCACAGACGGCTTCGATTTCATCACTCTACAATCCGACAGTTCCGATATGCCTACGTGACAGACAAACCAACCCCAACGTAAACTTTGGAATCCACGTAGTAAATCGTAGCGTTTAATTAAATTAATAAAAGTTAGGTATTATGTAAATAAATTGCAAATGAAAAATAAATAAATAAAATAAAATAAAATTCAAATGTGAAAGGGGTTGAGAAAAACTAGAAATAAAGGCTATGTTTGTTACCGTTTTCAAATTCTTTCCACACTTTTCCCAAAATGAAAATTATCTTTCTACACTATTTTCAAAAACTTTCCCCAAAACAAATTCAAATATTTCTCTCTCTAACAAACATGATTTGACCGCTACAGTGAAAATTATCTTCACTAAAATACAAAATCAAATCACTTTATCTTTTAAATTCTTCTTCCAAAATACCTTTTTCCAACACCTTTCAGACATGATTTGACTTGCTACAGTACAAATTGTCTCCTCCCAAAACACAAACAAACTTTATTTAATTTTCAAATTCTTCCCCAAAAACATTTTTCCCCAAAATAAAATGAAAATGGAAGCCCAAAAGCTTACCAAACACACCCAAAATTTAATATGGGCAAATTAATTTAATTGGGCCTGTTAGGTACGATATTTATTACTTGGACTTCCGCACGTACTGCAATTCGGAGGCCCACAGAAAATTGGAATGCTACCGTCGAAACTAGCTGCACTCGCACACCGCCGTAGCATAACCGCACCATCTCTCCATCAAACACCATGGCCGCCGCCGTCTGAGCACGCGCCTCTATCTTTGATGGCGGACAAATGCAAATCAATGAAACAGCTCAAGCAAATCCACGCCCAAATGATCATCACCGACCGCATTGGCGACACCTTCGCCGCCAGCCGCTTGCTCAACTTCTGCGCTCTCTCCGCTTCTGGGGACCTTAATTACGCTCTCAAATTGTTTCACCGTACCCACGTGCCCAATATGTTCATGTGGAACACTGTAATTAGAGCACAAGCTAGTTCTCTGAATCCTCTCGCCGGTTTGCTTCTTTATGTTGAAATGCGTAGGCGTGGCGTCACACCTGGGAAACATACATTTCCCTTTGTGCTCAAGGCTTGTTCGAATGCGAAGTCGGTTAGATGTTGCGAACAAGTTCACGCGCACGTTTTGAAATTTGGGTTGGATTTTGATTTGCATGTTGCGAATGGCTTGGTGAGGGGGTACTCTGTATCGGGTGGGATTAAGGATGCCCGGAAGGTGTTCGATGAATTGGGTGAGAGGAATTTGAGTATCTGGACTACGATCATATGTGGGTATGCCCAGAACGATTCTTCCGAGGAAGCAATCGCGTTGTTCGATGGAATGGTCTCTGATGGCTTCGAACCAAATGCAGTCGTTTTGTCTTCTGTCTTGTCGGCGTGTGCACAGTCGGCATGCTTGGAATTGGGACAGCAAATTCATATGTATATCGAGGAGAAAGGGATAGAATTAAGTGTGATTCTTGGAACTGCATTGGTTAATATGTACACGAAGAACGGATCTTTGATTAAAGCAAAACAATGCTTTGATAGATTGAAAGAGAAAAATATTGCAACTTGGAACACAATGATTTGTGGGCTGGCAGTTCACGGCCATGCCGAAGAAGCCCTCGTTTTTTTCCGGAAGCTTCATACAGAAAAAGTAACGCCAAACGATATTACTCTTCTCGGTGTTTTATCCGCGTGCTGCCATGCTGGATTGTTGGATTATGGTAGTGAAATTTTTCACTCGATGAAAAGGAATTACGGTATCGAACCCAATATAAAGCATTACAGTTGCATGGTGGACCTGCTTGGAAGGGGGGGCCGGATTTTAGAGGCTGAAGAACTTATTAAAGGAATGATTTGGAAACCCGATGTAGCGATTTGGGGAGCATTATTGAGTGCTTGTAAAGAGTGCGGGAATATCGAAGTTGCTGAGCGAGTGGTAAAAGAAATTCATGATTTGGATCCTCAAAATCATGCAGTTTATGTTATTTTGTCGAATATGTATGCAGAGGCTGGAAGATGGGAAGATGTGATGAACCGAAGAAAAGGGATGAAGGAAGGGTGTTTGAAAAAAACAGCTGGATGGAGCTTGGTGGATGGTGATGGCTGACACAGTTGTCTGATAGGTGTTTGAACAAACTATCTTTGGTTTACTTTTACTGCCTTCTTGATTACACATCTATCTTCAGTTCCATTGCAATTTTAGGTTCAGCTCTGCTTAGAAATCTGGGAGATTCTCAGACAGCTGTTGACTGTGGACTGACACTAAAATATCAATTTTAAAGACCATTTGTGGTGAGTCGTGGAGTAAAATATTAAAGGAGGGAAAGAGCCACGCACCTTCTTGACTACAGAAAGCAAATCACTTTAATTTTCCCTCATCATTTGTTGCATACATACTGCCAAATTGACCAACTCTTGTAGCACTGTGAAGTCCGGAAAGCCCACAATCAGATGAAGCTACCAGCGATTTTGACCTTGTGCATCTTGCTGGCCACTGTTTCTGCAGGTAAACAAGCAAATTAGTGTCAATCTTTCTGTTAAAGCCCACCAAATTAACTCACTTAAACGATTGTTAGTTCGTGCAGAAATTTTGCTGAATGCGGATTTTGAATTGCCACCGTCTAACTGGAAAGCAGACTCCACATCCCCGTTATTTCCATTAAACGAAAACAACACAATTCCTGGATGGACAGTCGAAGGCGAAGTCATGTATGCAACTGCAGGTGCCGATTTGTCCCTGCCACAGAACAGCCATGCTATATTGCTTGGTCAAGACGGCAAAATTAACCAAACATTTACTGCAAAAGGAGCACAAATGCATTACCTTCTGACCTTCACTTTAGCCAGGAGGAACCAGAGCTGCGCCTCCAGTGCAGGCCTTGTGGTTTCAGCCCCCGACAATTCTGCACAGTTTTCTTTAAACCGTAAATATGGGAAAGAACCGTGGGAAGTTTACGGTCACAAGCTAGGTAACTGGGGAGGTGGAGAAGCTGTTAATTTAGTCATCCAGAGTCAAGCTATAGATGCAGATCCCAATTCCACGTGTTGGCCTGTGGTGGATGCTCTCTCTTTGATCGCCGTTCAATCACTCAAACAAGAAAACGGTATGCGTCTTTTTTTAGTCCACAGTATTCTTGATTTCCCTTTTCTGTTGACTGGTAACTGCACCATCCAACAATTTTTAAAGTCAAGATCTCTTGGCTACTGCTTTTGTCACAAGAGTTTTTTAATCAAAATTGCAAAAACACATTAGGACATGCCTATTTCAATTCTGGTCTAGCTGTTGTCTCCTTAATGAAAAGCTTTACTTTGTTTGGTCAATTGGAAAAAAAACAGATAATCTACTGCTAAATGGTGGTTTTGAGTTGGGGCCAGCATTCCCCGATTTCTCCAGTGAAGGAATTCTATTGGATTCAGAACCAAGTCTGCTTGCATCTGCTCTGCAGCAATGGACAATAACAGGAACTGTGAAGTACATAAACTCGAAAAACTACTTCGTCCCAGAGGGCAAAACTGCTGTTGAGATTGTATCAGGTATCTCTTCGGGTGTACAAACAGTACAAGTACTCACCCAGGATTCCAACTATAAATTGGAATTCATGATGGGAGATGCAAACGATTCCTGTTCTGGAGATTTTACAGTTGGAGTTGCCGCAGGATTATTGGTTCAGAATTTCACCGTCCACAGTAACGGAACGGGATCGGCCAAGAAATACTCGATGGCATTCAAAGGAACTGGCCCAAGTCCAACCACGATAAGCTTTAAAAGCTATACAACAACACAAAGAGAAGACGGTATATTTTGTGGCCCAGTGATTGATACCGTTGTTTTATCGAGTGGGCACAGATCAAATTTGCATGGTACCTTTCTCGTTGCTTTTCTCCTTCTGGCCATTCTGAAAATAAGAGAGCTGGTGTAGTTTTGCTGCAAGATTGAAGAACCTGTGTAAGGAAAGCAAAATTACTTGCTTCCTAGAAGTGAATAATTATTGTAACTCGGTGGATTCTGATTTTTTTTATAGCAAATTCATCTCAAGTTTTGAAACTAGAGCATTCACATCGTAAGTGAAGGTGTCATCTAAAAATCTCAGCCAGCAAGGTAACACTCGTAACATATTATATACAATGTAATATCGTATACAGAAATGTCAGGAAAAACATTGTTCGATAGCTTCGCTATATTTGATCCAAACTGATGGGGAGAACCCCAACCTGTATGCTGTATCTACGGAGTAATAACCGCTGTGATATTCTATTCTATTAACTTTAAACCCACATTACTCAAATTGAGTAACAGTGTAACACTTAGTGCAGCTCCATGTTTATCAATCTTGCTTCAAGAATCTGCACATATCGCACAAAATGGGCAAATTTATCAACTTCACATAATAAGATCGAAAAAGTTTTAATTTCCAATTCAAGCAGATAGATAACAGGGGTTCGGAACTTCACCCTATACCTGTACAAAAGACTCTGGAATAGTTCAAAAATCCAACGTTATACATTTTGCACTGAGTTGACCCACTTCAATCGCTTTAGAAGAGATTGATACTCTGGACTTTTGGACCATTCATCAATCTCACGTGCACGCAGAACCGGGAGAGGATGGGAAAGTTGCCTCGTTTGAGCATTCCTAAGCAGAGTTGAACAAGTTAAAGTATCTACCATATTTTAATATCCAAATAGCAAGATAACATTTTTCAATTATATTCTTTTTTGCATAGCAAGATGAGTTGGCTGACCTTATATACCACCCAACTGGGCTAGAAGAAGCCTTTTCATAAGATCGAGCTTGATCCAAAAAGGCATCCACGTTTAATTGGTCAGCCATAGAGGGGCAGCCACCAGCTAATTTCATCAGAACGGAGATGACAACCTCTTGTGGGGAGAGCACGTGTACGATGATTAAAAGATAATAATAATAAATAATAATAATGATCATAGTTTGATATCAAAAGTGCAATAGATTAATCTCAATACTATCTATCTACCTTTGGGTCCCGAGCAACAAGAAGGGCGGCCCTATCACAAGTAAGTTCTGCTGCTCGAAGCCAGCGGAAGAGCTGTTCTTCTAATTGCTGAGCAATCAAACCGCCAAGGCCTATAAATAAAGAGCTTGTGAAACACGGTAGATGGTCTTAATAGTTCTTTTGTAGACCTAGGTATGATAGGCGAATTGATAATCGGAATAGAGATGATCATAGAGATCACACCAAGAAACAGAAGAATTCCGTATGAGTACAAATTTTATTCAAACGAAGTGAAAAAAATGCGATATTTGTTATCTAGTAGAACAAACACTAAGAAACCCCCAACCATCATTGTAGAACTGACTCACGCAGACCAATGAAAAGCAAGATCTTACCAGGTATAGAATACGCTCCGAGAGTTAGAATATTAGCGTAAGTGAGCCATAAACCATGGTCACACTTCAGATGACCCAATTCATGAGCCAAAACAGCCTGTATGTGATACAGCAAGTAAAGGTTAAACTACAACTCAAGCATTACCAGAAGTAAGGTTCATCGCACCTGTTTTAAAAAAAAAAAAAACAAGTGCTCGTGTTAAAGAAGATAAAAGTAGTACCTGCAATTCCTTTCTTGACAAAAGCTCCACTAAGCTTGTATGAACGACAACAAATGGCTTTTTCCCACTGATAGCCAGAGTGTAAGCATTCGGCACAGGACTTTGGCGCAAATATAAGTCGGGTGCGTCAATGTTCAGTATACTGGCAGCCTCTACCATCAATTGATGAAGTTCAGGGAGCTACACGAACAAAACAAACAGAGTTATACGAGTAATATCTAAAAGAAAACAACAATTGCCGCAAATTGAATCAAAAAATAAATATATTTACACAGTACTCGACTCCCAGAGGTATCATAAAAGAGAAGTTCTAACATTTGATGCATCCATAATATGATATGAAAATATTCGTATAAACAAAACGAATTAAGAACTAGTATCGTGTACTAAACCTGATTTCCAGAAACAAGAACAGATGTTCCTATATTCTCCAGAAGCATGACTTGCTCGGCAACAGTTCCTGCAACCAAATAATCATTAGCTGAAGAACAAATGCTCGCTCAGAATTTACTTCAGAAGCAAAATTTTCAAACAGCAGAATAAGAGAATCATCAGAAATAGCTTAGTACTTCCTCATATTTCAACGTAAATTCCCAATAAATCAGGGAGCCATTATTTTAAACCAATAATTATTTAAAAGATAAATTAATTGAATTACCTAATAAAGCCTTTCCGATTTCATTTAACCCCGGGATCGCTCTCAAAATCAACGTATTCTGCGATCGCATAAAAACATAGAAAAATGATTTTAGAAAAATAATTGATTATCAACTAAAAATAGAAAATCATTCAATATTGAACTAACTTGTCTTTCGTCAAAAAAAAAAAAACTAACTTGTCTATCCAGAGGATGTCGAAAATCATCTGCATCGATATTGCGAACAGCAACGGACGAAGCAGCAGCTCGACAAATTAAATTTGAAGTCCTCCGTTTGCCCTTAATCGGATTGAGCTTAGGTACACAGGGATATGTGATTAGCGCCTTAATTGAGGTATTAAAGCAGCAGCTAATCGGAGATGGTTTCTCTGAGAAATTGAGACTGGGAAGATGAACAGCAGCCATAGTAACAAAGAGAGAAATGAGAGGGAAGGACGAAGGCGTATGTTAGCGTGTGAAGCCAGGGGTTCCATTTGGTGTATATGCACCCACGAAGCTGTTTTTCAACTTAAGTTTAGGTCCACAACCGTAGTCCTGGTAATTATTTGCCGCCGTTTCGTTTTCCGTTGACGATTTTAGCCTGCAAACTATAAGATATCTAGGACATATAGTGTTACTATAATACCCTAAAATAAAAGGATACAATAAATAAATAAATTAAACCCAAGTGTGAGATTTAATATATAATTAAGGTGTATTCCTTCATGCATTGACTATGCATAATGAAACTATGTATTCAAATATATATCTAGCAGCAATCAACCAGGTTTTTCTTTTACCAAACTTGGTATAAGTGAGTTCACTTAGCCACAACATATAATAAATACTACGGCTTGGCCATTAGTCAATATTCAGGCCTTAGGTTGACTCAACTCTTAAGCTTCCCATAAAGATTACAAGGGTTAAATACAGTGAAGCTATTTGCATCCTTCACAAAACATCATTTTACATTTATTTAACCAAAATCCTACTCTACGAATATCACAACACCAGATTTGCCTCCCAAGCTTGCGCTCCATGGAAAATACGCGAAATCTTCACACACACACACACACACGATGCTCCACAAAAACTACGGCATACACATACATCACCACATTTCTTTAAAGTTGGGATTGGAATAACTGCCAGCAGCAACATTCTAAACACCGGCTTGTTCACAGAGATCCAGCAAGTCTAAGGTCTGCAATAATACCAGATAACATTTCAGACAACTGTTGAGAATATTCAGAAACATTACATACTAGAATGTTTAGATTCAAGAACTAACCTCGGGTACTGAGAGCTCAAGACGAAACTTAGGACCGTCATAGTGATGCAAGACTGGTCTAAACGCATCTTCCTCCAGAGGGTTGCAGATTTTCCTAATACGAATTCTTACCTGTGATGAAAATAATAGATAATCGGTCAACAAATCAAGAAGTGGGACACACAATCCATATACCTCTTAGTATATGAAACTGATAATCGTAGTTGATGTAATGTTATCTTACCTGAGCAGGGAACCTTGATTCGCCTTTGCACTTTTTATCTTCCCAAGCAGTAGGATCAATGTTCGCACCCCCAAAAGTTGCTGCCTGCAAAAAACAAGTGAGTTTGTGAAACAACTTAAGAAGAGTTCGTTAAGGTCAACACTCGTATAACCTAAGAACAATGTTTCTAGCCGTAGCAAAGTATATAGATAGTTCCTTCCTTGCAAATGTAAAGAGAATCTTCTCGTACTCATTTACATCAAAAAGGTATGAAAAAGCTCATCAAATCTTTTTTGTTTGTTCAGAAAAAAGTTTAACTAGGGCTACTCAGGCTCCATAAAAGTATGTAAAATTAAGCAAAACAATTGGTGCACACCTCAAAGATACCATGCAACTGGTGAGTGGTGTAGTTATAGAGGAACAAAGGTAAACCAGGTGTTATTGCCCTGACAGAATCTCTATATCTTGGGGGCAGACCTACAAAAGAATGCACAACTGTGAGCATCAACCATGAACTTTATTACAAAAACTATGCAGTAAGAATCATCATACATTAAAAATATCAACATTATTTAGTTGAAATAAACGAGCAAATAAAATCAGTTGTACGCCACCAATGTGTGAAAAGCTATAAAGAAAACTTGTAATAAGATCACCAATATCTAAAATCGATAAACAATTCATATAATTACCAAATAGCTGTCGCTTCAAATCCTCCTGCATAGTATCATTGTTACACACAAAGATATATCCACCGAGAACCTCGTTCCTGGGGAGGGTCTCTGCAGCAGGTAAGGTCTTAAACCTTTTATCAACTGCATTGCTTGCATTTGTGCTGTCTTCCTTGTTGTAGCCGTCACCATAATTAGGCTCCTTGTTGAGGTTGATATTGTTGTATTTGCTTCCAGATACATTCCCCAAAGAGCCGATATTAGGATTCTGATAAACAGCATTCATATTATTATAAATACCATTTCTAAGGGAACTTTTGTTCACATTCTCGTTGAACTTCGCCTCCAAGTTTAACATGTTGAAGTTAAAACTTTCGAACTTGTTATCTTCTTGAAACCCGATATTATCCTTGTGCCTCAATTCAGCAGAACCCTTTGAGAGATCAAGGTTGATCCTTCGCTCGGGCTTTGACCTAGTCTGCTCAGCCAGTTTTGAAGCAGCAACCAACCATTTGTGATCCTCCGAGACTTTTGTCTGGCCTCGGAGTTCGTCACCCAACTGCCAAAAGCTGTGAATACTCTCCATGCTCGAAAACCTACAAACCAATAAATAATAATAGAATACGGTCAGATGTCTCACTCGAAAGCACAACCCAATCAATCAACAGTTATTGGCGTTCCAAGACGATGTTTCAGAGATGATGAAGTTGCAAGAGATAAATATATAGAACAAATGAGAAAAGAAAAACAAGAAAAGGCAAACAGATGGACGTAAGAACAGCAAATATGTTTAAAACTGTTGGTTAGGTCAACCCAAAATCGTGAGAATTCCAGTATATATAATAGGAATAACATGTTATAACTTGCTCAATCTTCAAAAGAAAAGTTACAAAGAGAACACATAACAGAGAATAAGGCAAATGGGAGAATATTAACAAACTTCAACATATTCAATAACATCAAAAAAAGATCAAACACCAGAACATTACCCACTCTCCCCATAAATACCATTTCTACAGTTTTAAGAATGAAAAAATAATGCTGAAAAGCTCCAGAGCAAGTATCAACCCTGGAGAAAACAATCAGTACTTAGGAAAGGCAATTTCTCCAGAGTTGACCAACAGTCAAGCGTCAAGCAATAACTAAATAAGAAATGATGCAAAATTCATAGAATGCGAGCGCAATTCATATCAGATAAATCCAGAACTGCAGATGCATAACCAAAAAACATAAATTGTTAGGGGGTTTTTTTTTTTTGTTTTCACCCACTAACTATGCATCAAACGATTCTCAAATCTCAGTTAATAAGCTAAAATTCAAGAAGTTGTAACTCACACAGAAATCAATGGACCAAATTCAACAGATCAGCACCAAAAATTAAAAAAAAATGAGCAGCTAAAAACATGCGGAGAATCAGGGATCGAAAACTCAAAGCTAAAGCTAGAGAGAGAGAGAGAGAGAGAGTCACCTTTTTTTATCTCCTCGACTATGAATCAGCGGAAGAGTGACAGAGGGGAAGAACAACAAAGGTATATTACTCGCATCTTTATACCGACAAATAAAGCGGAAATGCCCTCCACCTTTTGCTTTATTTACGCAATTGTCAGTGAGATTTAAAAAATAATAATAAATAAATAATCGGATGGAAGCGTTTGAATAAAGTGGATCGTGAGCCGTCGGATCAACATTTATAATATTTAGGTGGATGACAACTAGACAAGTGAATGTGAATAACTCCAAAATTGAGTCAGTACGAAACAAGAGGTTCTCGTGCTGCTATTAAAGTGACCGATTAAATCCTACCCCATATTTCAAAAAAATTTAAATAAATTATACCATTTTATTTTTTAAATAGATAAAAAAATTGATGTTTTATAGATACAATAAAACGAGTCTACATCCATTGTTCCATATTTGGTTGCAATAGAATAATTATAATCAATCATCCAAATTGTTTGATAATTCGAATCTGCGTTGGTGTTTCCTTGATTGAAGACCATCATCTTTATTTAATCACATCACTTTATTTTATGTCACCGTTCTATAGTGGTGTGTGTTTATTTTAATCACCCAATTAACAAGTCCTAAAATACTTTAGTCTATATAGCTAGGGTGAGGATCACGGAATCACCCAAATCCATCAATGTCAAGGCTTAATTTCAATAGTGTTATGGTTTCAATAATGGGTACAAAGTTGGGGTTTCATCAAATGATAGCTATTGTATAATTTACCAAATTCAATCGAGGATTTCATCAAGCAATTCAATTCAAACAATGATCAATCAAACGAGCTATAATTATGCCCAAAAAACCTTAAAACTGGAAGATAAATGCATGTAATACAAAGACAAAGGATAACGTGGTTCAACCTTGAAGAAATGGCCTACATCCACAGGTGATAGCAGTTCTTTTATTAATGGTAACACCACTGATTTACAAAGATTACAAAAAATATCCCTATGTTTGATGGGTGATCATGAGTTTAATTTTGATTTAAATATTTATTTGGATCAATTTGCAATAATTATGAGGAGTGATAATCAAATTGACATAAAAGCCCATACTCTGGACTCCTTAAGCCCACAAAAACTGGGAAAATAATAAGGCCCAAAGGAGTTCCTCACAATCATCATATAAAAAATATGAGAAGCCCTAATTGATTAGGATCCAAAAACTCAATTCGCAGAATCAATCAAAACCTACAAAAACAAAAGGGGAAAAAGAAGCTTCATCTCTGTCGCGGAAAACATGGACATGGGAAACGATTTCGATCGCCTTCTCTTCTTCGAGCACGCCCGTAAAACCGCCGAAGCTACTTATACTAAAAACCCTCTCGATGCCGATGTCAGTATCAACACAATTATATTTTTGTAATTTGTTTTTTGGGGGTTTATTTGTATATTAATAATTATTTTTCGACTGGTTGTTTGCAGAATCTGACCAGATGGGGAGGCGTGCTGCTGGAGTTATCGCAGTTTCAGAACGGCCCGGAGTCGCAGAACATGGTCCAAGGTCCAACAATTGCTAATTTGTTATTCCGTTTATTTATTATTATTCGTTTTATTATTAATTTCATTTGTTATGTACATTTTCTCTTAATTTTAATGACAACTGCGATTGATTTTTTTTTTTTATTAGAGTAGTGATGAAAAAAGCACTAATTCTACAGTCTACATTGTGCTGCGATTTGTCCATGCGGGCTGATTTTGTATATATTAGATGAGAAGCAATCATGTTTATCACTTTCAAATTTCTGGTTTACGATTATGGAGTATTGATAAGCTGGTTCTCTATGTTGAATGACATACTGAATAATTGTTGGCTTGTATTTGTGGTTAATGAGAGGTTAAAAATTAGGTCTTGATGACTAAAATTTAGCTTGTTAATCATCTGTAGATGCTATCGAGAAGCTAGAAGAGGCTCTGATTGTTGACCCTAGAAAGCACGATGCACTCTGGTGCCTTGGAAATGCATATACATCGAACGGGTTTATTACTCCCGATCCTGATGAAGCTAGGGTTTTCTTTGATAAATCTACCCATTACTTTGAGCAAGCATATGAATTGGTATGTATACGGTTAACTAAGGATTCCTCTTTATTCTTTCGGATTACTGGCTAAATGTCTTATGTGTTGTTCTTTTGGTGCAGGAACCACAAAACGAACTCTACAAGAAATCATTAGAAGTGGCTGCCAGGGTAACTTTTCTCACCTAGGATCTTTCAAATTCATTGCGATTTTATTTATGTCTTATATGTAGACTGATTGTTTGATTTTTGCTGAATAGCAATCGTAATGACTTTACACAGTACCAGATTTATTCTTCATTTCTATTCCACAATTTATTTTCACTCGCTTAGGCCTTTGATTGTAATCAAAGCCTTATATTTTGTTAGATTTTAATGTTATACAATTTCTCTGTTTTGTGATTTGGAATATTTTGACATTATCGCATAATTTTCTTATTGCTAGTAAGACCAAAATTTGAACTGGTCAATGTGATGATAACAAGATATCTACGACTATTTTGCCTCATATTTGAAGTATTTGTTGTTTATTCATGCATATGTGTATTGTTCATGTTGTGTATTAAGGCTCCGGAGTTACACGCGGAGGTACACAAGCATGGTGGTTTGGCTGAGCAGGCTATGGCGCCAGGCCCTTCGGCATCCACTAGTACAAAGGTAAACTGTGTGTATTTTGGTGTTTTAGATGTAGTGTTTTTTCTTTCTGGCCGCATATCTTATCTTAATTAGTGACACTATGCCACATTTTTTACAGCAACAGAGTGGAAAGAAGAGCGGAAATAGTGATCTCAAATACGATATTTGTGGATGGGTGATTCTTGCAGTTGGCCTTTTCGTATGGGTTGGGTTTGCAAAGTCTAATATGCCTCCACCTCCCTCCATCTAATTTTAGGTGTTTGCTTCATATATGACTTGGCTCGACTCCTACCGCAACGAACTTTCTTTTGGTAGATGTCGTAATCTAGAGAATACCAGTTTTCTAGCTTTCTTTTCGGTTATTTTTTTACGGAATCCTTCATTATTGAAACCATTAATAAACGACCTCGTACTTTACTTTTTTCAAATCTTGTAGCTTCCTCTCTTTATTTGGCCTTGGAGATCTTGAAGATTTTGTTGTTGTATCGGCAGATCTCAAATTTGACGAAGATTTTGTCGCATCTTTAACTTGTCTGGATTATCCTATCTCTGTTGTCCTTGTATTTGTTCATCTTTCGAAGTTACTAGTTCTGCGATTCTTCGCAACATTTTTTGGCTGTGGCACTTGTTTCGTTTTGTTGAGTAAACTTGGTTGGTTTTGGTACATGTGTCTTGAATTTATTATTGAATGTGAAAATATCCAAACCATTATTCAATAACATTTAATTTATACACAAGAAAACCAACCCATACTAAACTCCTAATCCATTTAATAAGCATTAAAAAGGGTGGGAAAAACAATTAAGGTTACAAACAAACAATTAGAAATTGTGTAGATCTAAAATCAGAAATCTTCATCCAATTTGAAGACATGGTTATCTCCACCATTGCCATTCAAATTAGACATAACAGAAGCTTTCTGATACTCACCAACTCTCTTCTCAAAGAAATTAGTCTTCCCCTGCAGACTTATCAACTCCATCCAATCAAACGGGTTCTGAACATTGTACATCTTTCCGTACCCTAATTCATTCAGCAATCTATCCGCCACGTACTCAATGTACTGACTCATCAGTTCTCCATTCATCCCAACCAACGCGCACGGCAGCGCGTCGCACACAAACTCCCTCTCAATTTCAACCGCGTCCGCCACTATCCCCTTCACTTTCTCCTCGCTCAGCTTCATCTTCAGCAAACTGTAGAGCAGGCACGCGAAATCGCAGTGCAGACCTTCGTCACGCGATATCAACTCGTTCGAGAAAGTCAACCCCGGCATCAGACCGCGCTTCTTCAGCCAGAATATGGCGCAGAAGCTTCCGGAGAAGAATATCCCTTCCACGCAGGCGAACGCGATTATCCGCTCGGCGAAACACTCGCCGCCGTCGATCCAGCGGAGTGCCCAATTGGCCTTCCTCTCCACGCAGGGGACGGTCTCGATTGCGCGGAAGAGCCTGTTCTTCTCGTCGGAATCCTTTATGTAGGATTCGAGGAGGAGGCTGTACATCTCGGAGTGTATGTTTTCGATTGCGATCTGGAAACCGTAGAAGGCGCGGGCTTCCGAGATCTGCACCTCCTTCATGAAGCGTCCGGCTAGGTTTTCCAGGACGATGCCGTCGGAGGCGGCGAAGAAGGCCAGAACGTGTTTGATGAAATGCTTCTCGTCGGTGGATAGGGTTTCCCAGTGGCGGAGGTCCTGGGACAAATCGACTTCCTCGGCGGTCCAGAAGGAGGCTTCGGCCTTTTTGTACATCTCCCAAATTTGTGGGTATTGAATTGGAAACATGCAGAATCGGTCCTGGTTGGGGGTGAGGAGGGGTTCTTCTGGAATGGAAGGCATTTTCGAAATTGAACAAAGAGGAAGATGATTTTGATGATGATTGTGAATTGTGATAATGGTTAACTGGTTGTGTTTAAATAGAGATATCGGGGCGCGGGATTTTGAATTTTTCGAGGGGGGAGAAGCTTGCGGGAGACTGAAACTCAGAATCTAGGGTTGTGTTGATTCAAATGTGTGTGTGTGACTAATTAATGTGCATTAAAATTGTGTGCCGCCAATTAAATTAAATTAAAATTAGAAAAAGGAAAAGACTTTGTGGAGGTGGAGCGTACAGCGGAAGATTGGGAAATATATATTTGAAATTTCAAAATCAAAACGGCAGGACCCCTTTTTTTAGGGTAAATAGATTTTGAGAGGGAACAATACTCACTCCAATGTGCGTTTGGCGCCACTAATTTTGGTTTTGAATCCAACAATATAACATGAAAGACTTGTCGCAATCAACTTTTATTGCAACTTTGGTATATCAACCTATTTTATATTTTTTTTTAAAGTTTAATATGAAGATATTTTGTATTTTTATCTGAGATATGACATCTTAAACATGAAATCAAACAACTACCACCACAATCTGTCTTCCTTCCTAACTGTCAACCACCCAATTATTTGCCCTTTTATTTTCTTTCTATTTTAATTTTCAATAAAATTACTAAAACAATATATTACTTATTAGTAGGGGAGGCCTACACAAAATGGTCCTTGACCTGAAAACAACATATACGTTTGGGCGGAATCGAGCCCATGGCCGATATATTAAGTTGGGTAGAGACGAAATTGGGTCGGGTCGAATTGAAAATAAAGTTCGCACATCCAATCCGGCCCATTTGTTTACGCGTAATTGCTTATTCTAATTTGTTACAAATTGCACAACAGTAGTAAGTTTGAAGTTCATACATATGATTATATGAAAAATAAAGGCTATGAAATTCGGCTTTCCTTCTAAGCTGATAATTAATTAGAATTAATTTGTGAAAACTACATTACATTCCGTGTGGGTATATATTACGCAGTATTGATGTTGCAATTTGAATTGAAATTTCCTTTTTTCTTCCCAAAATTTGTGCATGCATAAACTTTTCACCTTCTTATTCTCACCAAATATAACAGTTTGAAAAGCTTAGCTTTTAAATATAACTGAGTTCTTTACAAGCAACGATCATCCACAAAATATGGTAGATTAATATATATCAGAAATTTTTAATGACCGTTAGCAAGAAAATTCGAAATCGTGTACGTTAATTGATAGTCAATTTAAGGGATGCTTAAAGTAGCTGCTTTTTAACCCATTGTGTAATCATCAATATTTTTTGGTCAATGTTTTTATGGTAAGAAAAATGGAAGTTAGTAGTAATAAGTAATTGACATTTCCACATGGTGGAAAAATGGGTAAATAGTTAATCCCGTACGTGACAAATCATGATTAATGGGGCATAGGATTCTTTCTATGAAATGCTATTTACGGTCACAAAATTGCTATTTGCGCTTTATAACAAACCCCTCAAAACTTTTTAAAATATTAAAAAAAAACCTCAAAACCGCAAATAGCAAAAAAAAAATTCAAAAATTCGAAATCAAGCTTGAAGAAGGGTTGGGCTTCGATTATTTGATGTAATTTCAACTCTTTTATTTGTAATATGCATTGGGTAGGTCGATTACGGAACCAATTTCATGTTAAAAAGCCCTACAAATCAATTTGTAGGGCTTTTTTTTTCGCAAAAAAATGTTGAACGCCCATCTTAGGCGTTCAAAAAAAAAAAAAAATTTGCACTGGACGCCCAGCTTGCACGCCCAACTTGGGGGTGCACTGCATGAATGGGCGCCCAAGTTGGGCTTTTACGCATTTTGGGGGGGGGGGTTTGGATTTGTTTGGGAAGTTTTGGGATTTTAGAGAGATAAAGTATTTTTTTGGGGTAAATAACAATTTTCAAACCGGAAATAGCAATTCCCTTCTTTCTGTATGTACATTTCCTTTTTAATTAATGGAAATTTAACACGAAAGAGTTGTCCCAATCAACTTTTATTGCAAATTTGGTATATCAAGGTATTTTGTATTTTTAAAAAAGGTTTAATATGAAGATATTTTGTATTTTTATCTGATATATGACATCTTAAACATCAAATATCACACAGTTTGTTAAACAACTACCACCACAATCTGTCTTCCTTCCTGTTAATATATATCAGAAATTGTTAAAAATTAAAATTACAAAAAATGGAAGAAACCGACAATATGTACTGTTCATCGGACGGATCGATCTATAGCGATGTAGCTGCTGCTGCATGTTGCTATGCAGTTTGTCGATTAGTAAATAGACTCCTCAAGCAAAGACTCCTCAAGCAAAGCTATGATAAGGGTCTTTTGAACGTGGTTTGCTGCCGGCCCCCTCCTTTTCTTTTCCTTGCATTTTAACTGTTTTATCGTTACATGTAATTAGTATCATATATATGTGTATATGTATGTATATATTCTAATTTCATCGATATTTTTTTCGTGATGGATGGATTGGTAATGAAGCATCTATTCAGAAAGCTTGTCCATATCAGCATGGGATTGATTATCATGCTTTGCTGGCCAATGTTAAGGTACGAACCTGATTAATGTATTTCGCTAGCTTCATCATGAAAATAATTAAACAATTAATTAGTTGATTATATATTGCCTAATTAATTAGTTGTATATAGGACGAGTAATTAATTAAGTAACGACTAATTAAATTCTCCGGCCAGTTGTGGTCGGCGCCGTAGAATTCTCGGAGGACTTGTTCCGGTGTTATGCATGTACAGAGTACTTCTTGCCGGATTTGGAACAAATTACAAACCTATGGACTCTCAAGGAAGATACAGAGATTACAGGTTTGTATTAAATTAATTACTTTAATTTTTATAATATTCTAGATAGCAACCGACAACCGTTCTATAGTTCCATTGGAATGTAGTCCGGATTTTACAGTCGAAACAACGGATATTAAAACTAAATTCTTTAAAGAAATTATTAATACTAGAATTGTAGTAGAATAATGTGCAAAATATTAATACAATTTAATTAAAGAAAGTTATACTGCATTGTTATTATTATCTAAAATATACATAGTTACTATTAATTTTTTAATTATGTATTATAAATTAATTTTTTTAATTTTTTTTTTGTGCCAGGGAGCTGCTGAAGGCAGCATTAGGTTATGCTCTGGCAGTGTTTTTGGCCACTATTTTTCACTTGAGAAGTACTCCTTTAGCCATTGCAACTATTTCAAATCTCTGTGCTGGAGATGGTATCCTTATCAATTTTTCTCTAATTATAACACTTGCCATATTTAATTTAAATTTTACAATTTTGGGTTATATATATATATATATGTTATTTCCAGGGATAGCTGATATCGCAGGGAGACGATATGGCAGCTGGAAACTTCCGTACAACAAAAACAAATCATTTGCTGGAAGTATTGGCATGGCGATTTCTGGATTCACTTCTTCCATTTTGTAATAATATAATCCATATCTTGTCAATATAGCACAAAATGTTTTTGATGAAATGAGAGTTTAATTAATTAATTAATTTGCTGCAGATTTATGTTCTATTTCTCTTGGTTCGGGTACAATATTCGAGTAAGCCCGAACATGGTCTTAGGATTCTTGATGGTGTCGGTTGCCTCTGCACTAGTCGAATCCCATCCGTGGAGTACTAGACTTGACGATAATCTCACGGTTCCCCTAGCCTCCGCGGTGGTTGGAACTTTCTTTCTTTTATACTAAAATTATTTACTGTATGTGTAAGTTTGGGATGTATTTATTGTTGAAGCATTAGGGCTACTGCATTATTATTTGATAATAATGATATATCTAAATTTTTACATAGTTGTTGACCTGTGGTCCTGCGTACCATAGGTTAATTTATTTCAACTGTGAAATATGGACCTCATTTTTACATAGATTTGGAGTAACATCAAGAACATATATTAAAAGCCCATCTACGGTTTACCTTTTTTTTCTTTTTTAATTTAAGAATAATAATTATTTAAAAAGATTTTATTGAATTACTCTTTATAGTGATATGGAAAGGTCCATCAACAGTTTTTATTGAATAATTAAAGTTTGAATTGCTGGTAGGTGACTAGATGTGGCTGCCAAATAAAATTCATAAAATAAATTGATTGTTGCATGTTTGTCACATCACATCACCAATTTCAAATCTTCTGCCTATTAATTCATTAAATTTGTTTTCATTACATACATTAGTAAATTTTAATATTTCTTATTCAATCCATACAAAAAGTTGATGAAATAAATTTATTTTTATTTAAAAACCAAACAATCAATATAAAAATAAGGGTAAAGTTCATTTTACCTACTTGAACTATACCCAACGTATAAAATACCCCCCTGAACTTCAAAATGAACCAAACTAGCCCCTCCGTTTAAAATCCGTCTGGCCTTGCTGACATGGCACTTTGACTTTTGCATATGTGACAGCTGGAGTAGATTTTGGACGATTTTACCCCTTACTATTATTACTATTTTCACTTTGTCTCCTTCACCACACCACCATCACTTTCGATGGATTCAACATAACTAAAACCTTAGTTTTCAAATCCAGATTCAGCAACATACCATAAGAAAGTTTATCAAAAATTCACCCAATTTTGTGAAGAAAAACATTCTTTAATTGATGTAGAGTAACGCAAATCTTGGAAAATAAAACAACATTCTATTCTAAGGAACAATAACAAAAGCCCCAACACCAAAATTATTCCAGAAAATAGAGAATAGCAGATTATACAATTCTGTTTTTGGGAATGTTGGTGGCGGATTCCGCCAGGACCTAGTGTGTGTGGCGGAGCAAAAGCCGATTTCTTTTTGGTTTCTTCTTTTCTTCTTAATTTCAACTTTTCCGGCCGCCGCCACCGGCGGAAATCCAAACGACTCCGTATTTGGGTTTTTGAAACCAAATCCAGCCGCGCTTCGTCAAAATGTTCACCATCTCAGTTGGAGCCCGAAATTAGTGCCCCAAGTTGTGAGAAGCTTGACCTCCCACCGGTGCGAAATGAGGTCTTACTGCGGCGGATATTTTGAGCAGCGTGGCGCCGATTTGCAGGAAGAACTTTAATTTTGACTTTAATGGAGCAATGTTGGCGTGAGATTTGGCAGACAATTTCATTTTTTGCAATTTGTTAAATAAGTGAAGAGAAAAATATTCTGGATTTTGGTAAAAGAATGTTTAAATTTGGTAGAAGAATCTCAAGAAAAAAAAAGAAGAAGACGGGGGAGGTGTGAAGAAGACAGATCACAGTTGTATCAATATAGGGTATAAACGTAATTGCCAACTAAACTTAACGTCTGTTAGTTTTGTAATGTTTTTTAACGTTGACCCACAATTGAGAGGGACTGTTTTGGTTCATTTTGAAGTTCAGGGGGTATTCTATACGTTGGGTATAGTTCAGGTAAGTAAATTGAAGTTTACCCTAAAAATAACAATATATCTTAAATATATAATTATCATTTTCATTTAAAAATGGAAATGAAAATTAGAAAAACAGTAAATATTTGTTGGTGGTAGAAGGTGAACTCATCTTATATATAAAACGAAGATATTTTGAACTAAAACCTAAACCTAAACCTAGGGTTAATTTTGTAAATTAATAAATGTCTAATTTAACCATTAATTAATAAATTTATAATTTAAACACTAACTCCTATATTTAAATATACCGTATGTTTCTAATTATTTATATATATATTTTTTTATTTTTCTTCTCCACTCTAACCACCCACTAACCCCCCACTAATTCATCATGGTAGAAGTTATCACACCATGATCTCAACCTCTACTAATTTCATTCTTCTATTTAAACTCACGAGAACTCTACCAAAAATCACATTTTTTTGCCAACTTTCTTCTTCTTTCTCATTTAAAATTTTGTTCGTCTTCTTCTTCGCTTATTTAATAACTGTGTTATGCCGTTTATTTATTTATTTTTGCATTTGTGTTTGACATATTGTAAATTTCTTTTGCAGCAAGCATGTTCCTATCAACAACAATTCGTGATTGGAGCGAGCTACTCACGCAATTCGGTAGAAGGAAAAAAAATTATGTCAGACATTTATTATGTGCTTCTGTTAGTTAAAAGCTTTTTTTGCTATAATTTATTTATAATATTTAAGTTTTATAATTTACAAGACTTTGTTGCTGTATTTGTATTTGAAGCTACTCAGCAATTCTAAGACATTAAACGTGAAAAAATCAGTAAAGAAGAGAAGAAACCATCATCATCTCACATCATACACCAAATACTTGGCAACATGTTGTACATCTACAAACATTCATGCTAGGCTCGCGAACTATTATTTATATTATTAGGTTTTAAGTTTGTGAGTATATTGATAGGCTATTATTGTTTCTTGAATAGGCAACACAAATCTGCGATTTTTTCTGTTTTCTTTTTTCGTTCGTTGATCCATTATATTCTGATAGAGTTGGCATAGATTTTGATTTGAGAATTTATGCAATTAATCTTTGTTTGCTCAAGTAATGTGAATGTTCTCATTATTTTTAATCTAGAAAGTTAAATTAGCATTTTTTAAGTGATTGTTGCACCTTTTGTATATAAATTTGAATTGTCATCATTGTAAATTCAATCAAAAACTTTAGAGGAAAAAAAATGCATAAGGGGAAAAAACTTAAAACGCAAGAGTAAATATTGGAAAACTATCCAATGAGTTTATATGATAAATAATCATGAAAGATCCGTGCATATCATGACAAAAATTATTTGCCTCCCATAAAAGGAAAATAAAAACCAACTACCATATAACCGTGTATTAAGAGTAGTAGATACATTTTGTGGTTGATTAAACAATTACTCTTCTATTAAATGTGAATCGTGTATGCAAGTTTTTCCCAAAACCTAGCTACCTTTTTCATATGATTTTCGTAAAACTTTAACTAACATTTTGCTCTTTTTTTTTTCTATGTCTCACCGACGCTTCCTTTCATGTGGCAAAATTTTGTTGCACATAGTCGTCTATTTCAGTTGTAGAGTGAAGTGATCGCGAAACTGATTTTGCTAAAAAGAATTGCACAATAAAATGCGACCCGCAACAAGATCTAACTACTTAATCGAGACAGAAGAATTTTTGTTAAGTATTTTGCGTAGTTATCATGTTGCATTATCAAATTTGTAGAAATGTTAATGCTATTACTGAAATTTAAATTTATTTATTTTTATTACAATTATTATCGTCACTACCTATTTCAGTAATATTTATTATCTATAATTTTCCTAATAACACACATTTACAACAACTCCCCACTTGCAGTAACTCCCCGTTAATTAATAACTTCCCACATCCACTATATAATAAATTCATATATGTTCCAAGAAAATCGTTCATATTTGAATTTTTTTTTTGTTTGAATCAAAATTAGGGTTGTGAATGACTCATCTTCGTTGGAGGTGGAAACCAACAACAATTCTTGGGTGTACCTTGAGACTCTCTTATTTCTATGTCCATCTACTATTTTATTACTTATTTATTTTTATAATTTTTTTTCTATAATTTTTATCAAAACTAAAGAGTCTTTGCGTACACTTTGTCACGGATTCCCCAAGTATCAATCTTGAGGATGTTAAGAAACAACAAAGTAAGAGGTGTCAAATGATGATATGCTAGACTTCAACAACATATGAAGCATTGGGTTAGTTTGTTCAATTATGAAAACTATTATTAATTGTATTCAACATGTGTTCAATATTATTTATCTTTTTTTTTTTAATTCTTTTATGGTGTCATATGTTTTCAATTATTTAATTTCAGTATATTCAACAAATTAAATTTTAAATAATTATTTTCTTCTCTTTTGTAATGGTATTCCGTGCAACGCACAGGGCATGGTTACTAGGGCCATTTTAGTCAATTTTTTATTTTTACATTTTTTTTCTTTCAAACAATGTTGAACACAAAAACCGTCCACTCCGAAGAAAATTCAGTACACGATCTTCCTTATTCCCTAATTCTGTTTTTCTTTCTTCACCCCCCTGCATTTCATCTACGGTTACAATTTTCTCTCTTTCATCCCCTTTCGCACCCCTACTATAAGTTTTCACCTACCATTTCTCACTTCATTTCTGTAAATTCGCTTAGTAAATTCGAATGCAGAGGAAACAACAGAGATAGGACAAAGACAAGCCGGATCTCTCTTGAGAAGTAAGACGGGCAGTTATGTATTGTGTTTCCGAATTAGGATTATATATTTGTATTTGATTTGTTATTACAATCGTATGACATCAAGTTTCTGTATGACCCCGCAATTTTGGTGATAGAGAATTTGGAAAATCAAGTAATTTCAACGACTGGGATTGCGTGACGAAAGAAGCTTTCTCATCATACAAAAATGAGTGAGCATTTAAGGTTTTTTTCTCCTTTTTTCACTACATCTACTGAATATTTAAGGACTATATATTTAATTTTCAATCTTACTCTGGTAGGTTCTGTCATTTGTAGTACATTTGATAAATTATGGAAGCAAAGATGAAGAATACGTAATTGGTTATTAGATGAAGACAGGAAACGTCACATGAACGAGATCCCGCCCTATGAAGATGACTCGATAAAATCATTCCCTCTGTTTATAAGCTTAAAAATATTTTGAGCCAGCGCTTGGAATAAGTTTCTTTTAACATTGGAAGACACCTCGAAATTCAAGATATTTTTATAACCTGTTACTTTAATTTGGTTTTATCATATAGAATTTTACATCAACATTTGATTGTTTTTTCTTTCCTCATTGTTTGCCAGATTTTGCAACTAAGGTTGTTTATATAAATCTTATATAAAGACAACTTTTTCCCCATTATCTGTTTCGTGATCATGATGATGAAATGCAATTTTTGCTAGGGGTAAGTTTTTTGTCTTTTTAGATTTTTTTTTTTTTTTTTCATTTGCTAGAGATTGCTCTCTCTGTGAATTCGTTATGTGCCGTGTAGAATCTGATATTCAAGGTTATGCATTCGGGGCTGGCAGATTTGAATTATCGATTAGAGAATTTAAGAGAAGAATTATCAGATGGCAATAGCAAGATGAAATTGAATTCGTCTAATATCTCTTCGGACCATGGTCCAGACTCGAACACCAGCCTGAATTTGTGTATGGATTTAATCCCGATAGTTATAATTTTTATGTGATTCCTTCAACAACTTATGTGATTTAATCAAGCACGGATATAAATATAGATTGGTTGTAAGTGGAATCTGGAAATAATTTTAAATTGCAAATTATGTTATATATTCTATCATGTATATTTTTTTTGAAGAGTTTCTATCATTATCATTGTCCTAACTTTTAAGTGCATATAAACCATAACTTTATGTACATGTAAAACCTGATTTGTGTTGATATTGAAGAAGAAAATATCCTCATTTTATTTTCCAAAGACTGGAGAAATATCTTGGAGACATAGTTACATGGGAATAGGCGTAACCTGTTTTTTAAGCATCACTACCTCAGTTCGGGAAGCCCTATAAGGTTTTCGGGTTGATATTGCTTGGTTTAATTGTGTGGTGATTTTAGTTGATAGATAGACTGTTAAAGTCTAAAATGCTCCTATGAAGACTTGACTTATGGAAATACCATTTTGGTATTTCTCCTGATGTTTTTTCTGAGAACATTGGATAGGTAAATTTGTGAGCTGTAAACATTGATTTTTTTTGTTTTTACCGATACCGATACCGATCTATTGGTCGTTTTTATAGCTCCTATTGATAGTTTACTTACGTTTTCATACAAGCACACTATCAGTACTTTGTGACTCTTCTCATATCTACTACATTGTTTTGTTCACTTTGTCATAATTTCTGCACATATCAATCTTGACTCTTGAGGATTGAGAGACAACGAAGCAAGAAATGGCAAGTGACAATATGTTGTTGTACTTCGACAAGCTATAGAGCCTTACGTTTGATTGGTCAATCGTTAAAACTATAGTTAATTGTATTAATCAAGTTCTTAGTATTATTTATCCATCTTTGTACGATTTTCTATGGCGTGGTGTATTCTCAATTATTTAATTTAATTATATTTAATATATTAAGTTTTAAATATTTTTTTTATGGTTACTTTTTACGATTTTCTTATGGTGTGATGTATTTTCAATTATTGAATTTCATTATATTCAACATATTAAGTTTTAAATATCTTTTGTTTTATAATGGTACCCGTGCAACGCACGGGTTATGGTTACTAGTATGAACTAATAGAAGTCTCTGCTTTTAACCATATTTTAATAAGAAGAGCAGCCCCACGTCACCAGATGGTCCAAAGTTGTATTTCTATGGCATTGAAACTCGCCTTCTTCTCCATTTCTCCCAATTCCAGTTCCAATTTCTGTTGCCCTACGTTAAGAAGAACGCACTGCTCCGAGTTCGTTCAGCTGATTAAATCAAAGCCGAGGAGGAGGAGGATTCGCCGGGAACTGAAATCAGTTGCCGCTATGTTCTCGAATAACACGGCGGTCGGTGACCTCGTCGCCACCGGTTTGTCCGGCGGGATTGCGTTATCCTTGCTCAAAATCTGGGAAGAAACGGCCAAGAGAGGCGTCTTCGACCAGGTTTGAATTTGTTTTTTAATTTTTTTAATTTTTCTTAATGGAATTCAACGTCATTCTCTATATTAGGCTCCTGAGATAAATTACCATGTTTTCTTCTAGTCTATAAATGGCGATTATGTTGATAAGGATTGGTAATTTTGATTTTTTCTACTGTGGAAATAATGACTTTGGGAGGCGATCTAGGTAGGATTTAGGAATATGAGTTGACTAGCATTTGATAATTTTTTAACCATTTTTTTTAATTGTATTTCATCACAGTTCCATCAGATCGTTGAAAGTTAAAACTAGATCCAACACTCCTTACATATGACTGTGGATAATTTATTCTGTAATATTTTGATTGACAATTCATGCTTGCAGAACTGATTCTGTTGTTTTTAAGGGAATAGTGCACTGATCTTTGTAGCTTTTGCTTAATAAGTTTCCAAGTTTTTCCATCATTAGCTGCTGTGGAGATTTTAAAGTTTACTTATATAAGTAGCCTTTTTCGAACTTTTTGTGTATTGTTTCCCATGTATTTCCTCTTATTTTTTATTTTATTTTTCGTATTTAGAAACTAAATAGGAAGATTGTACACGTTACGGTTGGGCTAGCGTTCATGCTTTGCTGGCCTATGTTCAGGTAATACTACGTGACTGAGATAGGCCTTTTTTTTCTATGACGTACTATAACAGCACATCTGATTGAGTTACTGGTAATTTTTTTAACAGTTCCGGTCGTCAGGGAGCAATTGTAGCAGCTCTTATTCCTGGTATCAATATAGTTAAAATGCTTCTTTTGGGACTTGGAATATGGAAAGATGAGGCAACTGTCAAGTCCATGAGCAGATTTGGGAACCATAAGTACGTCCTAATTGCGGTAAAAATATCAAATTATTTAGACTTTACCTGCTTTTATTACGCTTGCTTCGCCTAAGGTTAGTTCTTTTAAGTCAACGATTTTATATGATTGGATTGAGGGAAATTGTCATTTATCTAAGTCAACAGATGCGACTGAAATCTTGGCAAGTTACTGATATTATGTGTATGTGCAGCGACCTAGTTAGCATGAACTTACAAAAACATTTTCTTAATTGTATTGGGTTTTAACTCTTAAGTGGTTTGTTAGGATGTTCCTGGATACAACATTGCAATTTGATTCTCCTATGATCATGCCACGTAACTTGTGACATCGTTTTTGCAATTCTACCCTATTTGCAAAATTAGATTGAAACTATTGAGGTATTGCGTGTAATATCGAGCTGTGGCTTTGTGAAAGTCTATCATACGCTAATAGTAGGCAACACTCAGTCTAAAGCTAGATGCAAAGTAGATAGTTCTTTTTTTCCTTTCCTTCAGTAAAACTGGAGTTCTTTTTTTCCTTTCCTTCAGTAAAACTGGAAACTCGTATATAGCTTCTTATCCAAAAAGTAAATTTGTGGTGCTCAGGGAACTACTTAAGGGGCCTTTGTACTATGCTGCCACAATCACTTTGGCCGGTGCCATTTACTGGCGAACATCTCCTATAGCAATTGCAGCAGTTTGTAACCTATGTGCTGGCGATGGTATTGTCTATCCATCCATATCTGCAAGTTTTTGTTCTCTGAAAAAAATTGCAGGACAGAGAATGCTTATATTTCAAAATCTCTTTTTAAAGTTTAGTGTACTAGTGACTAGTGTCTAATTTCTTCGTAAATTTCCTTTTCATTCAGGTATGGCCGATATTGTAGGGAGGCGTTTTGGTACCCAAAAACTTCCTTACAATCAAAACAAATCTGCCGTTGGTAGTATAGCAATGGCATGTGCTGGTTTCTTGGCTTCCATCGGGTAATATACGTTTGCCCTCTTCAAAATGCTTAAACTTTATTAGAAAAATCACTAATGGAAAAATACGAAAAAACAAACAAACAAACAGATACATGCTCTACTTTTCATCATTTGGGTTCATCGAAGAAAGCCCGAAGATGGTGATGGGGTTCTTGATAACTTCAGTTGCTGCTGCATTAGTTGAATCGCATCCGATAAGCACTGAGCTTGATGACAATCTGACAGTGCCCCTTACAGCTGTGCTGGTTGGCAGTTTAGTTTTCTGAATCCGGACCTTAATAATCAGACGGATCATTTCAATCCACCCAAATGCTCGTTTGTGGATACAATCGAGGGTTCTTGTTGTATTTGAAGTTGTTTTATTGATTTTTTTTAGCCGTAAAATGCGAATGAAACACGAGCTTGTTGTACCACCATGTAAGAGTAGTAGAATTAAGCGGTCCATGCTCTTAGGACCTCAGTGATGATTCACTCCTTGTAATTTCTTGTTCCTTTTTAATCAGTCTAATTTAACCAGTTGAGCAAACTTTTATCAGCCAGTTTTATGTTTGGAACGTCTTATTGAATATTCTCAATAATCTTTAAAAAGGCCAAAAAAAAAAAAAAAAAAAAAGATTCAAATTAATTTAGAAAAATCAACATGAATAAAAATCAGAAAAATAAATAAAATATAAATATGTTTTGACATGTAGACGCTATTTTGTTGACGTGGCACCTACTTGGCATTTCATTATTTGTTTGCGCTGAATCCCTCAATTACTATTGATAAGAGCGCGGCGAGTCATTTGATTAGAACAACTCAATTTGGCGAAGAGCTAATTCAGTAGCATTTCAAGCTTAACAATGGCGTATCAGAATTCCGGAATGCTATCGAAGGATCAACTGCTTCACCTCTTTGATCAATTCGCTTATCTCACTTCGCAGCCTGGTAATTTTCGATTCCTCTCTTTTTCACCCAAACATTCAATTGCAGTTCATTCTCATTTTTTTTTCTTCAAATGTTTTCAGAGGTGAAACAACGGATTTCTGATGCCGTCAACGATAAGCAGGTTAACTATTTTCCAAATTAGTTAAATACTGCTGAGTCCTAAGTCAGAGTGTGAATTCCGGCGCTTCATGGCTGATATTTGGGGAGACTGCAAATTTAAGTTCCAGTCTAGTAATTTGATTTAGAAAATAAAAATTAAGTTTTCCGAAGCGACTTATTTTGGCACGAGGTTATCGAAAATTATAGTTAATGGCTACAAAAAATATCAGTTTTATTGTCTTATTTATCCCTTATATTTGGCATTATGGACTGATATGGTATGCTGAAACTGGCAAGAAGTTATGATGAATCTTTTTACTCCATAAAATTCTTTCTTCATGTTGGCAATTGAATTTAAAGTTCATACAGGAAGCTGTAGCTGTAACTACTGCAATTCAAGAAGAGATATTTTCCGATATGGGAGTTGGTGAGTGGTTCTAGTTGAAAGTTTTTTGCTTGAATTGAGAAAGAGTTTGACTAAAGAAACTTGCTTCATATATTGCTTTCACGGATTTAAGTTTCCTATTGGATTTTTGCAAAATTGCACGGTAGATTGTTGCGAGTAATTTACTTCTCTATTGTAGATCCACAATTTGGTCTGGCTTGCTTGGGGAAAGTAAACATGACCTTTGAGAATGATCAAGACTTGATGATTCAATTTTATGGTTTTGTAGCAAAGTAAGTGCTATACCTATTATTCTGTGTAAGAAATGTTGGTACCTAGCAAGGTGATTTGAGCTCTTACTAATTGCTTTTGTCACTATGTTTTGAATATTTGGCCAAATCTGGTGCTGCATTAGTTAATCTTTCGGCCCTTTATCACGAATTATGCCAATTTCTTCCCCAACATTTATCGAGCTTGGTTTTCAAATGATTCACTTTTAGAAGTTTTCTTATCATGAACTATGTCAATTGCTGCCTGAACATTTATCGAGCTTGGTTTTCAGATGATTCACTTTTAGAACGTAGTTGATATGAGTAACTGTTCTTTGCCTTCCGTAGACGCAGCTAATAAATAGAACCCAACCCCTTGGGGATCCAAGAACGGTTAGATCTGTAGGACATAGACGAAAATTACTGTCCTTCCAAATCCACTGTCCTTTAATTTATCTGGCAATTGATTGACTCTCAGTGAAAAGTGAACTGAGATTGACCCAACTTGAGAAAGCGTAACTTCTAATTCCTAGTACTACATTTTGTTGACTCGAAAGGGAGGAGATAGCTTGTGAGGAAGCAGAGCTTGGTCCAGATGGATTTGCAGAAAGAATGGAAATGCAACATTATTTAGAAGAACAGGTTCGTGTTATTCTTACATGTATATATACATTTTAAGTTGCTGGACTTGTTACCGAAATGGATAGGTTTGGATTAACATATTTACAGCAACTGGAGATGCTGAAGCACATGCGCAAATTTCACCTGGATGATCAGTCTGCCATCCTTGAAAAGGTATGCTTTTCAAATCAGTTGCGTGTTTGTTTTATACGCATAATGCGGTCACCTTCACCTTTGATTCTCTTCCAAAAATCAGAATGTAAGAAGTTACATTGTGCTATATCATATTGCAGATCCACCAGCAGATGGAGAATACCAACTTTCAACCTGAGGCATCGATATTGTCAGTTGACCACATACAGGACATTGTTAAACGAAGGGTTTCACCTCTCTTTCAGCCAATATGACGGTTTTACTTGTCTTGTGTAGACGCTGTACTGTAAAATTTATTTCAATGAAGGATCAAAAGCTTCGTATTCTGCTTGTTGCTGGCGATATGTAAACTTGAATCACCCCTACCCCTGTTTTATTTTCGAATTAAATGAGGAATCACTACGAGCATTTCGTTTCTTAAGCTTTGATCATGTAGATCGATTTGTTCATTTTTGAAAATGAAAAACTAATATTATGTAAAAGGCTAAAAGCACATTATACAACATCGTTGCATGAACAAGCTCACAGCCAAGAGCCAGGATTCCAATTCAACTGACAAATATATATTAGAAATAAATAATTTAGTGATATAGATTTCCAAAAAGATGTGGAGATGGCCGTGGGTTCAAATCCCACTTTGCACAATTAACTCTTACGTTTTTTTTTTTTTTTTTTTTTCTTTTCCGAAAAATTTGCACTCGTGTGTACGGATAAGTTATCTACAAGGTTTTTATATCTGTCCCCCTTCCACACAAATCAAACCACTGCACTTTGCATTTCTCCCACTGTAAGTCTTTAGGCAAAACTTCCTGAACAAAAAATTGAAATTAACTGATGAATTGATATTCACATTGTAAATTTCGACTTCTCACAACTGTATTTTTGTTCGTTCGGTTCCAATTTTGCAGGTAGCTTGGTTGTTGATAACAATGGCGGCCGTGAGTTTCAACTTGGTAGGTGCGTTCAAAGGCCTATCCGTTGGTTCCACCTCATCCTTGTCCTTTTTCAGAGGCGACTTCGGTTCGATTTCCGTCGGTCAAAACTCCGTTCGTTTCCCGATTAAAACGCCTCTGACGATAGAATCTGCGCATAAGAAAGGAGCTGGTAGTACTAAGAACGGCCGTGATTCCCCAGGGCAGAGGCTCGGAGTCAAAATCTACGGCGATCAAGTTGCCAAAGCTGGTTCCATTATTGTACGCCAACGCGGTACCAAGGTGTGAACCCTATTTTACGTCTGTGTTCTCCGTTCCTTTTCTCTTGTGTGCTCTTTTTACTGTAAACTTTGGATTTTACTGAAGAAAATGCTATAGAACCTTGTATTTGGGGAAAATCGCGTTTTATGTGTCCGTGGATTATCTAAGGTTATTGAAAAATTCATTTGTGTAGGTTATAGAATTCATGCCTCTGTTGTGAAAAATAGCATATCCAATCGTTTTCTCATAACCTTTTTGTTCTGCATCTGGAGCTTAAATTTCTCACATATATGGTGCTCAAATTTGTTGCTATTTATATATTAGTTTGCTTAATTTAAGCCTCACATTACTCGATCGACCAGTGGATTCCAGAATGTAGATTTACAAAGCAGATGTATCGTTAAGGGTTCCTTGTGATAAGGTGCATAAACGGACCTTACGCTGAGCTTAAATCCTTAGTTCTTTACAGTACCATTGTAGGTGAAATGAAATGGCAATTTTCAGTTCACATGGTGTGTGTTTGTGTGTGTGTGAGAGAGAGACAACTAAGGTATCTTGCATTCAATGTGTGGCATCTTCCGAATACATATTAGCCCTTGTTATGTAGAAACTCTGAGATTGCAGTTGATCATCAAGCAGATAGAACGCAGCTTAAAGAAATGGTCATTACATCAGTAACTTTTAGTGTTTAGTTAGTTCTTCATTTTTGTCTGTGAGGTCTTCTGAGTTTTAATTGATGCATCAGTTTCATCATAATAATTGAACTTCTCCGGTGTTTTAATTAATAGTATAAACATTTCTATCTAAAATTATATGTACCTTGTAGACTGTAGTATGTATGTTTGGCATGACTAGTTTATAAATAAAATCTGAAATAGTGAATCATTTTTGTTGAATGTAATTTTCTTATTAACCATATCAACTGTTTTTGCCCACAATTTATGCAGTTCCACCCAGGGAAGAATGTTGGGCTTGGCAGGGATCACACTCTTTTCTCCTTGATAGACGGACTAGTCAAATTCGAGAAGTATGGACCTGATAAGAAAAAGGTAACCGTTTGTTCATCTTCTTTAATTAGCATTTTATTTATTTAATCAGCAACGGAAAATGCGTCGTGGCTTACAACTTTTGTAAAATATGAAGGTGAGTGTCTACCCTCGTGTGGTGGTACCCGAGAATCCCAATAGTTACAGAGCAAGAAAGAGAGAGGCCTTCAGGTTACAACGTGAGAAAAAACGAGCGAGGAAAGAAGGCTTTGTAATTGAACCTCTATTGGTACTTGCTTCTGCTGCACAAGTGTCTGAAGATAGTCCATCATCATCTTGTTAATCAGCAGCTCTAGTCTCTGTTTGCTTGTATTCGACAGTCGGAATTTTGTGTATGAAATAGCTAATTTTCTTTTGATTTTGTTTTCGATTATGTTAGTCATGGACATTTGGAACTGTTGATTCTGAAAGCTTGTGAATCCTATCTTAATGGAAAAATGGCCAAACTGCCCTTTAAGGGGTAAATGGAACATGCCGATAGTCTCCTGGATTTTATCATTAATTGAGCAAGTTTATTAGTTTAATTGAATCGTTTTCATGAAATCCATAAACTAATTATTTTGAAAGTGAAAATTACTTGATCGAATTATAAAATAAACCAATAATCAACATATGTCGAGATTAAACTTAGAATTACACTTAAAAAAAAAAAAAAAAAAATTGGAGCCAAATAAACGACATGGACTATTAATCGTATTGGGCAATTAGAGCCCAAATAATAATCCAATGTGGGCCGTTCGATCAAAATGGTCTGATTAATCCAAGACACAGATACAAGAAATTAGAATGTGGGAAGACAGAGGCACAATATTAATAAACCATACAAACCAAGAATATTTCATTCATAACAATCATGAATCATCTCATCGATCTGTTTTATTCTGCTCAAAATTTCCCGAATAATATTGTCCAAAGAATAGAAAGAAATACATAAAAACACAAATATATTATAACACAAATATATCACTCAGACCATCAAATAGCCCCTTCAAAGAATATATATAAATATACTACTTAAAGAAATACAAAAACATGCAGACACATAATAAACACTTCCTCAACTCTACCTCCTCGATCTACCGTACAGTTGCGCGTAAACCGGCTTCGTTCGGTACACAAGAATCATGCTCAACATAAACGCGATAATACAGAGCCCAGACATGATCAACGAAGTCAAGAAGAAGCAAATAGCACCGTCGCACTTTAATGGCTCTTCGAGACGAACGTAGCTCGAAAACGAAGATAACAAACCACGGCTAATTCCAGGTAACCGCCCCTGAGCTTGTTTCTCCGCCTCTCTGTCGTATATGCTGCTCGCTATAACCCCCGAAAAAATTAACGAACCAGCAGGATTCGCTAGTGTGAGAAAATTGTATAGAGCTCCGAATTTTTTCAATCCAAAGAGCTCCGAAGCAGCAGCGGGTACTATGGCCCAGTGGGCCCCATATCCGAGGCCCACGAGAAGTGTACCGATGTACATTGCTCCAGGCCAGCCCATAGCAAAGAAGAAATGTCCGACTGCCATTATAACTTGTGCAGCTGCCATTGCTACAGGCTTGGATATGCATAGTCCCTGAAAGAAAAAAAAATTGATATAATAATTATGGGATGTGATAAATGTCGTTTTGGTTTTGATAATACCGTTTCGACTAAAAATGTGATCTTGACCATTTTCGAGGCTGAATTTGGCAAAGCTCAAAAAACGGAATTTGTAGTTCTTTGAGTTAGCTTCCTAATTGAACTTGAATCATCAAGATTGGATGTCGTGTGAGAAATATATGCATGAATCAATTAACATTGCCCACAACTTTGAGGTTTTGAGTTATCTAAAATTCATTCAAGCATAATTTTGCGAACCGACATCCAATCTAGTTGATTCAAGTTGGATTAGAAAGCTAACTCAAAGGACTACCATTTCCGTGTTTTGGATTTTACCAAAATCACACTACAAAAGGGTCAAAATCACGTTCGAATTCAAAACGACATTTAACGTTTCAGTAATAATAATAAAACACATATTGTAGACAAAGTGATCGGAGTTTATATTATATTATACCTGACGATTTGCTCGGAGAAGTAGCCACCGCCAATACGGCCAAGAAAGTTCCAGATGCTGATCATGGAAACGAATACGTGTGTATTGTCGTACCCCAAAGACTGGCTCATTTGACCTAAATTATCAATGACAGTCAAACCAGAACCAGAGCCCAACAGAAGGGAGAAAAACATAAGCCAAAGATCAGCCTTTATCAAAGCCTCCATCATAGTGAAGTCCTCCCCTCTGCGGGGCCTACGTTTCTGGATTCTAACGGCTCCTTCCGCAGCAGCTTGCGCTAACCTCGTCTGCAGTTGAGCAATTCTCTTCTGCCTCTCATGAGCAGGAAGCAAATCCACTTCTTTCGGCTTCTCATCCTCGACCTCACTAAAAATGATGTCTTGCGAGTCGTCTTCGGATTTTCCGGGATCCTGTTTCTGCGAGTCGGATAAAAGCGCCTCTTCGACCGAAGGCCTTGACCACCGCGAAGAAAAAGTCAATGCGACCGGAATTGCAATGGGGATCAACAATAGCACTAAAAGACCGACGGTGAAGATTATAACAACGGTCTCGCTTAAATCGACAAGATCTTCAACAAGCATGACACCCATCAAGTAAGCAGCCAGGATTAGACAAACGCTGTACACAATCGAGAAACTGAAACCGTCGGACGATCTTATCTGCTTGTGGCCACCAACCGGCCTGATGATGAACATCAGAGCAATTGCCACCATTGTGGGCCCCACTGCAACCATGAATATGAGCGAAGCGTGGTCCGGAGAGTTCATCACGGCGTACATTTGAGTTAAGATCGCACCGCCGAGTCCAGCAAAGCCCTTGAGTATTCCGACAATCGGGCCACGGCTTTTCGGGAAGTTTTGCACACAAGAGACGAGTGCTGCCGTGTTGAAATATGTCTCGCCGTTTGTTCCCACAAATATAAGAATGCACATCTGTTTCATTCAAAATCGGATCATCATCAGATACAAAAAACCCAAACAGATTAATTTAATCAACAATCCCACAAAATCGAACACCAAGAATTGATGAAAGAAAATTAAATAATAAAAATGATAGAGATATATACTCACAGCCCATAACGGCAAAACAGGAGCTATACCAGTAACAACAAGCCAAACCCAACCATACCCAACAAAATTCTGGACAGCGCCGATAAGAAGAACACCCCACAAGGGCAAAATCTCAGACAAACCTCCGGCGAGAAATCCGACGCTGTCGCCTAAATCTTTGGCCACACCTAACCTCGCAACCTGCCTCTGGTTATAGTTCAAAGAAGTTTTGATCGTCGGAGATATGCTGCCGAATAAATACCCAATTCCGGCACAGGATTGTACCCACATTGCAGCCACAAAAACGAGCCATCTGTTGTTGAAGAATGAAGACAGACTCTCACTGAAACAACCCATCTTCTTAATTTCTTCACAAGATTGATTTTTTTTATTTTTTTTTTTACCCCTTGGTTTTTTAAACAGATGGGTGTGTGGAAAATTTGTATTTGTTTAAGAGAGAGATTTTGAGCTGGGTGTAATGAGTTGTTGTCTGGCTGTTTTATAAGGACCGATCATGGAGAAATGAAACGATAATGATGGATGTAATATAGTAGTGATACAGGACGGTCTCAAGCTTTTCGCTCATTTTTCTTTTCCTTTTTTCTTTTTCTTTTTTTAATATATTTATTTCTAATTTAAAAAAATACATTAAAGGATTAAAATAACCTTGAATATTTAATCATGTGATACGAGATAGTTTAATTAATCAGGTTAAAAAGTAAAAAAAAATACTCTATTTAATAAAGTATTAACTATTGATTAACTATGTGTGATGAGTTCGATCTAGAGACCGTTATCAAGAAAATTATCTGTTGTAATCGTCAATATTTTTTGGTCAATGTTTTTATGGTAAAGAAAAATGGAAGTTAGTAGTAATAAGTAATTGACATTTCCACATGGTGGAAAAATGGGTAAATAGTTAATCCCGTGCGTGACAAATTCATGATTAATGGGGCATAGGATTCTGTATGTACATTTCCTTTTTAATTAATGGAAATTGAATCCCACTTAATTAGTATATAGGTTAGTTCTTTTAATTAATGTAAGAGATTTTGACACATTTTTCGTTTAAAATGAGGCAATTTCCAGATCGACTAGATTCCATGTGATCATTACCTATATTTGAAAAGTTAAAGAACATGTTGCCATGTTTGTCCCTACAGAGTACAGACTGCTGCTGCCACTATACAAATAATTAAATTGACCAGTAAAAAAGGACTATACAATCCACCCGATTTCCTCAAAAAAGATTTGGATCTGGTATTCTTATTTTATTTAATTTCTATTCTAATATTTGTAGCACCTATAAGTAAAATAAATTTCTATTTTAGTAGTTTGATTGTTTATAACTAAATTAGTAGAATTTTATGATTAAAGGCGGGCTTATAACATTAAAGTAATGGGCTTGGGTTCGATATCTTAATTCTTTGTAGATGCATTGTACATTGGGTCATTTATAAGCGGCCCAATGTAGATAGTAATCAACGGCATATTGAATCGACCCAAATATGTATATATATCAACGGTAATTCAAATATTTTATGGAGTTGTCTGCAGTCATGGGCTAACTAGTGGATTATGGGAGCACGACGTCTAACAATTCGAGTTTGATTTTCCTGCTAACACTTTCAAATTCGTGTTTATCGCATATGGCTCGACTAGTGCAATTTATACATCTCATGTAAACGAAAACAATATATTAAACTATTTGGGGGAGTTACTATAACTTAATTTAAAATATTTGGGGAACTTGCGGATTAATTTGTGATTAAATGGTCCTTGAAGATGTCATTAGTTGATTTTTGTCCACTAATTTTGTGGTGGATTATTTGGCAAATTAGGAGAGGGCGGCTTGCTTAAGTTTGAAAAGAAAATTTAAGAAAAACTATTTTCATGTTTCCGTAGATTAGGTATTAAAAAAAGATTCTTCCATAAAATGAATTGACTTTTGATTTTTCTCAATTTGGTAACATTTTATGTGGTTGAATGATACTTGTATGTAACATAACCAAATAAGTAGAAGTTAGTTCTACGAGATAATTACGTTTCGTTGTTAGAATGAAATTAGAATTTTATTGCGTGTGAAACTTAGGTTTGAAATTTCTCGAACCGCAAAATACATGATGTTGTTGATGCTACGCACTGAATAGTGAATACACACACGCTGATATATACATATATATATATATTATATACGTTGGCTAGTGGCCAAATTGATGGCCAAACTAACAAGATGTAAGGAAATGATGCCTGATGAAACAATTGTAATTAGACATGTATCACTTAATTATAAATAGTGTATATTCTATAATGGAATAATACATAAATTAAATTAGTTATGATACTTTTGTAAAATTTTGTAACAGAAGACTGTCTAATTGTTAGAGGTCACATTTCAAACTCTCCATTATATGGAAACATTCATTGATATGCCTAATTGGGCCAACCCAATGGGCCTACAAGTTATTTACCTACTGGGCCACGAGCCCAATATTGAAGACCAATATCACCGAGGCCCAAACACCTTCAAGTAAGGCTTGGGCCCAACAAAGCAAACCCAACCCAATAAACGACATATAAATAGAGGTTTTACTCATTTTATTAAGGTACGTCCTATTAACTGAGTACTACTATCAACTGTATTCTCTGGACTATTTCCACTATCAGCACGTCTGACTTGAGCGTCGGAGGGGTTTCCGCCGGATCAACCCCCGGCGTAGTTCACGTGTGTTCATTTCGCAGGTACCTCAGGATCATCAAGTTGTCAAGCTACTGATCCGCTTTGCTCTCCCAGTTCATTTTCTACACCACCCTAGGTGAGCTATATTTTAGCATCATCATTTTGGCGCCGTCTGTGGGAACGATGCAAACCAGATCACGTAGCCAACAAGATCCTCCTGAGGCGTCTGCTCGGAGAGAAAATGACACAGCTAACGACCTCCCACCTTGTGGAGGCTCTGGCTTGCCACCTCCTCCACATCCCATGGATCCGCCTCGCGAGGTTCAGGTGATCCCCCCTCGGGACCCACCACTCGCCGATCCACCACTCCCTGCTCCTCAAATGGTTCAAATAACCGAGGATGCGCTTCAACGCATGATAGCAGAAGCTTCAACTCGCGCTGCCACAGAGGCCGAGACCCAATATATCGCCACGATGGGAGCAAATGCTCCCAACGCGATACCAGCACCTGCTCCACATGTGGAGCCATTTCGCTCGCCAAGGGTTATCAACTCCCTGGGGGTATACAGTGCCCCCAAAACATTTCGCTCGCCAAGGGTTATCGACTCCCTGGGGGCTTACATCGCCCCCAAAATATTTCGTTCGCCAAGGGTTATCGACTCCCTGGGGGCTTACATCTGCCCCTAAAATATTTCGTTCGCCAAGGGTTATCGACTCCCTGGGGGTTCACAGTGCCCCCAAAACATTTCATTCGCCATGGGTCATCAACTTCTACTTGCTCCTCTAACGGTTCAGATAACCGAGGAGCCCCTTCAACTTATGATTACGGAAGCATCTTCCCGCGTTGCTACTGAAGCAGTAGCACAACGCATCGCCACAACGGAAACCAACGCTTCTCCTGTGGCTCCACCCATAGCACAACCTCAGAACAACAACCAACTTGCCACGTGCAAGTTCAGGTTTGACATGTCTCAGGACGTCACCAGACGTCGTGACCGAGATCCCCTTCTAGACACGAGGCTATCTTCAAGATGACACTTGAGGTCGCGCCCCAGATCCACTTCGAAACCTTCAGCAAGACCCTCATCAACCAGCTCCACCTCACATGGTTCAGATAACCAAAGAGGATATTCGACATATGATCGACTAGGCCATTCAGATGTCCTACTTCAACTACATCTGATGTCATACCTCAGGTACATCAGATGTCCTGCTTCAGCTACATCTGATATCATACCTCAGGTACATCAGATGTCAACTACATCTGACGTCATACTTCGAGTACATCAGATATCCTACTTCAACTACATCTGATGTCATACCTAAGGTACATCAGATGTCCTACTTCAGCTACATCTGCTGTCATACCTCAGGTACATCAGATGTCAACTACATCTGATGTCATACTTCGAGTACATCAGATGTCCTACTTCAACCACATCTGATGTCATACCTAAGGTACATCAGATGTCCTACTTCAGCTACATCTGTTGTCATACCTCAGGTACATCAGATGTCAACTACATCTGATGTCATACTTCGAGTACATCAGATGTCCTACTTCAACTACATCTGATGTCATACCTCAGGTACATCAGATGTCATGCTTCAGCTACATCTGATGTCATACCTCAGGTACATCAGATGTCAACTACATCTGATGTCATACTTCGAGTACATCAGATGTCCTACTTCAACTACATCTGATGTCATACCTAAGGTACATCAGATGTCCTACTTCAGCTACATCTGCTGTCATACCTCAGGTACATCAGATGTCAACTACATCTGATGTCATACTTCGAGTACATCAGATGTCCTACTTCAACCACATCTGATGTCATACCTAAGGTACATCAGATGTCCTACTTCAGCTACATCTGATATCATACCTAAAGTACATCAGATGTCCTACTTCAACTACATCTGATGTCATACCTCAGGTACATCAGATGTCATACTTCAGCTACATCTGATGTCATACCTAAGGTACATCAGATGTCCTACTTCAGCTACATCTGCTGTCATACCTCAGGTACATCAGATGTCAACTACATCTGATATCATACTTCGAGTACATCAGATGTCCTACTTCAACCACATCTGATGTCATACCTAAGGTACATCAGATGTCCTACTTCAGCTACATCTGATATCATACCTAAAGTACATCAGATGTCCTACTTCAACTACATCTGATGTCATACCTCAGGTACATCAGATGTCATACTTCAGCTACATCTGATGTCATACCTCAGGTACATCAGATGTCAACTACATCTGATGTCATACTTCGAGTACATCAGATGTCCTACTTCAACTACATCTGATGTCCTACCTCAGGTACATCACATGTCCTACTTCAACTACATCTGATGTCCTACCTCAGGTACATCAGATGTCCTACTTCAACTACATCTGATGTCATACTTCAAGTACGACAGATGTCCTACTTCAACTACATCTGATATCATACTTCAAGTACATCAGATGTCCTACTTCAACTACATCGGATGTCCTACTTCAAGTACATGAGATGTCTTATAGCCACGAGAAAACTCTCGAGTCGCTACTACGTCGCAGCGGGACAACTCCCCCGACGCCTACACTTAGCCTCGAGACAGCTCTTGAGTCGTTAACATGTCGCAGCGGGACAACTTCCCCGACAATAATATTTAGCCTCAAGACAACTCTCGAGTCGATATAACATCTGGGCGA